GTACGTCTAAGTAAGACCCTCACGACAGATAGGACAACTATCATAAGGATGCGGGCGATGGTAGCAGCCCTCCCGCTGATCTATAGGACGAAAACAATTCAGGTAAGCAACTTCGTCACAGCAGGATATATATTATATATATAATATATAAGTTATAAAACGATGTGTGAGTTCAACATGCAGATATGTTCTTTTTTGAAGTTTTTCATACTTGTTTTTTTTAATTTTTTTTCCATAAACAGATTTATGAGTCCGACACGCAGGTACATTCTTTTTTTTTTTATATAAGTTCGACAAATCCTGACGATTGTCACAAACCCAATCAACCAACCCCACGTCGACAACAAGTTCAACTTCCAGTCTAGATACAGCAAGAATGACCGCGCGTTCCGTGTTGGTGAAGACGATTGTCACGAAACCAATCAACCAACCCCACGTCAACGGTGCTCTAAAGAGTCGAAACTGCTCCTCCTTTTTTTCCTCTTTTTCCCCCTCCCCATTCCATTCTCAATTTTTTGGTCACGCAAGCATCCGAAGCCGGTCACCTAGAAGAGTTAAACTCACCTGGCCTCTCCTTTCCGCAATATCTTTTTCGCGCCGCTGCTTGTCTGAAAGGAGTTGTGCGTCAACCTGTTTCCCAGCCAGTCAATGCCAAAGTCAAAGCCAAAGTCAAAGCCAAAGTCAAAGACAAAGTCAAAGCCAAAGTCAAAGCCAAAGTCAAATGCACAGAGTCAAAGCTGAGAGTCTTCGGAGTCAGAGTCAAAGATACAGCTAGACATGAATCGTGAGAAAGAAATGCACCAAAAATGCAAAAGGAGCGCAGGAGGGCATGGACGAGGGGTCATGCCTGAAATCAGCTCAGACTTAAAAAAGTCAAACTGGTTGCATCAAGAAACATGGCCGACCAAAAAAAAAAAAAAAAAAAAAAAAAAACGTGCAAGATTGAAAATTCCCGTGACGAGCCGTCCAGGGAAGGCCGTGGTCTGGGGGGTGGGACGGACCGTAGCAGCAGTCCCCCCCCCTTTTTGTCTAGGTGACTAGTGCCGCAAGGTCAATGCTGCCCTGATTTCTTACTCTCTTAGTTCTTCTGCTCATATGGTTTGTGAAAACATGCTTGCCGGTAATAAGTAACTGGACTGATGCCCCCCTCAAAGTAGAAGGGGCCGTATTGATTGTTTAAAAAAAAAAAAAAAAAACTGTGAAGCAGGGGAGGGTTTTTTACCCGGACATTTCGGCGTACTGGCAGTCAACAATGCTTTCCAAGGAAAGCACAATGAATGCTATCAGGGTTCCCTCGGCCGTACCGCAGCGAAGCGTGGAGTTGGTAATACTGCTGTCCATTTTCAGGGACGCTGGACCCGATTTCCAGATTTCCAGTGCCTTGACCCAGCGTAAATTGGGACGCAGACTAGGAATAGAGTCCCGACTACCAGGGGATAACCGATTTGTACCATAATTAGGAAGAATAGGGGTACGAGAGCTCGCCCGAGGCTCGGTAGCGTACACTACCGTCTTCACCCGAATATAACGCCCTGTCATTATAGCTGTATTTGGGGCACTTTTCAGTCCAGGTGCAGCAATAGTGACCGGGCGTTCTATTCGGGTGAAGACGGTAGTAGGGAGGTCGGAGGACAGGAGGTAGAAAAGGTAGGGAAGAGAGAGGGGTCCGAGGGAGAGTGAGGGAAGAATAGGCGGGACCGGATTATAAGGGGATCGGAGGACAGGAGGTAGCAAGGTAGGGAAGAGAAATGGATCCGAGGGAGAGGGAGGGAAGAATAGGGGGGGACCAGATTAGAGGGGGATCGGCGGACAGGAGGTAGAAAGGTTGGGAAGAGACAGGCGTCCAAGGGAGAGGGAGGGAAGAATAGGGGCGACTGGATTAGAGGGGGATCTTTTGTGAAAACATAAAAAATACAAGAACACGAAATACAAACATAAGGATGACCATGGGCTTGGGAGTAGGCCAAGGAGGAAAGTATGGGAAATGCTGGGGCCACCAACACTTTCAACATTAAAACTGCAGAAGGACCATAGGCAGAATAGGGGAATACAAAGAGGGAAGAGTTCTGTAAATACTGGACAGTGGCACTTGACAGCTGATAGCCGGAGGCACAGAATGATAACAGCAACAGAATAGTAGGTAGACAAGCAGAGGCAAATTGTGGCATATAGAGGTTGGACACAAGTAGTGTAGACCTGCAAGTAAACAACCAAGGAGCTAGAGACATCACGATGGATGGGCGACATGCAGTGGCCTGAGGGACTGCCAGGAACACATCCCCCCCCGCCGCGCTCTGCCCTTCTGGAGGCTCTCCTGCCGCGTGGCTGGGTGCTGCTAGTTAGTCTCCAGCCCGGCAGGACATGGCTTGGGGGGTGGGGTGCTCTGCAGCAGGCCCCCCTTGTTTAGGCGGCCAGTGCCACAAGCGCAAGGCTGATCATCTTATCTATCATCTTCTCTCCCTCATTGGCTGTCAAAACATGCCTGCCAGTGATAACCAAACCGCACTGATGCCCCCCAGAATAGAAGGGGCTTTGTGTATTGAAAAAAAAAAAAAAACCTTGCGTGAACAGCATCAAAAGAACCTGAGGTTCCCTACAATTAAAAAAAAGAAATTCTTCTTTTTCAAAAGGGCAACGGCCTTGAGATATCAGCTTTGAAATTGGAACTGATTGGCCCCAGGAACCTTTCAGAGTTATTTTTATTTATTTACTATTATTTATTATTATTTGTATTTTTTATTATCATTTATTTTATTTTATTATTTTATTTTATTATTTTATTTATTTATTTATTTTTCAGTTATTTTTAGTAATCTTTACGCATCTGATTCCATTGGAACTCGAACTCTGGTCTGTGTTTCCCCAGTTCATGGGTCCACCAACTGAGCTAGGCCAGTTTTTTTGTTTTTTTGACTGAGCTAGGCCAGTTGCGAGGCTCAAGGCCTCGATACGCCCTACTGGGCCCTATTTTCAGTACAGTCGGCCTCCCTAAGTGAAGGCAGGCTCGACCAAGGCCTACAGGCCCATTTTTGGGGTCACCACGCAACTGGGGAAATTCAGGCAGTTCAGTGGCGCCAGTTGGTTGAGAGCGCCCAGGCCCAGGCTGCCTTTTTCATATGTAACTGAGGCAGGCCCTCGGCCAGATACGCAACATGGACGGAACACAGGCTGCGGGCAGTTGGGCACGGGTAACCACCACAGGCCTTGGGCCTGATTCGTTCGGACTGGGGATCAGCCTCGCGGGCCCTACCGGAAGCTTCTGGACCGAGGCCCAACGCAGGCAGGCCGCACGCAGCAGGCAGGTCACTTCCATTTAGGAAAGTGCCTGCCCCAGCACTCCTCGTTTGCACAAGCGGTTATCGGGTAGCTGAAAATTCAGGAATGAAAATTCTGAAGTGAGAGTTTTGGGCAGTCTGAAAATCCTGAATGGTCCTCAAGTGGTGAAAGGTCCGAAGACCCTGAAAACCACCTGTTTAGCCAGGTGGCATCCTGAAGTGGTGAAGGGTGTTCTGAAGTGGTCAAGTGAGAGTTTTGGGCAGTCTGAAAATCCTGAATGGTCCTGAAGTGGTGAAAGGTCCGAAGACCATGAAAACCACCCTTCACCACTTGAGGATGCAGCCTGCCTAAACAAGTGGTTTTCAGGGTCTTCAGAGCTTTCACCACTTCATGACCATTCAGGATTTTCAGACCTGAATGGTCCTGTGGTGAAAAGTCCGAAGACCCTGAAAACCACCTGTTTAGGCAGGCTGCATCTTTAAGTGGTGAACGGTGGCCTGAAGTGGTGATGAAAAATACGACTGTTGTTAACCTTCTCTCAGACGCTGGTCAGCGCTCACGAGCTCACGGGCGAGCTGGATGAGCAGGCAGCCATAGCCGAGCTGCGCTGCTGTATGCTGGATGGGGCGCATGGTGGTCCTTGGGTGCACGTGGCATCTGTGAGTGGGGGATCGAGGTTGTGTGTGATACGAGAGACATACCTGGTGTTTGAGGGGAACGCCATTAGCCGAGATCTGCTCGTACTTTAGGGAGCTGTTGATGTCACCAGCGGCATTGTAGATAGGCTAGATAGGATCTGCCATTTGTGGCCTGGGGGCAGAGCGCCTGATAGGATGTCGACATTGGTTCTTTGTTGATGATGATGAGACTATTCCAACATTGTCACTTATGAGCTTTTGTTGTGCTCTTATTTGGTGGAACTCGTGTTGCAATTCTGCTTATGGTTTGAGGTCACCACTATCTGGTCTCATGTGTATGATGCTGCTTGGTTTCTGAAGTTCGCTATCGCTCATTTTCCTTGCACAGTGGGTAAATAAAGAAATAAAGAAATTATGAAATTGACAAACACTGCCAAATTGCAAAATTGCCAAATTGGGCAAACCATCCAGATTCGAGAATATTTTTGATGTGGGAGGACATGAGGACTGCAAATAGCAATAAAAAAACAAGTTGGGACATCTCACAGAAGATGACGCATGCTCAGGGAAGCAATGCGCAGTAGACCAAGGATCCGCAATGTGATGAAAAGGACTGAAATGGACAATGCAAGATCAGCGCAGCATCAACAAGCAATGTGCGTTCCGATACATACAAGATGGCGCAAAGTGGCACAGCGGAAGGTTTGAAGAGAAGATCTGATCTGATCTGGACTGACCCGACATCCATCACACATCACACGTGAGAGAGAGGGAGGAGGGACCGCACACATGGAAGAAAGGTCCCTCCTGCGCACACATACATAGGGAGATACCACGGATGAGAGATGGGGGAGGGACGAGACGA